CTCTGCACCGATCGTCGTCGCACTGCGCACGCAGCCAAAAGGTCTTCGCTCGCTTATCCTCGCCACGGATCTTTTCGAATTATTGCAGCCCTTTTTTTACACAAATCGTATTTTACATATACGGACTTTGTGCCGTGTCTGTCGACTCGAGCTACTGCTTCTGCCGCTCTTTCTTTTACTCTCTCTCTCACACACACACACACGTACAACTACGTATATAGGTTTTGGAATTTGTTAATTGTCCTTTCGCGGCATGAGGCAGTTTTTACATCGAAATCTATGCATGTTCGCCGCGATTCTATTGTACGAGACGTCGACAGAAACACTGTGACACAAAGCCATATAGGTAGGCTCTCGGCGTGAAAAAGAGCATTAATTATTGGATACGCAGAAAGGGAGAAAAAAGAGGCCGAGCAAAATATTCCCGCCGCGCAGCCTCGGGTAATTAGTCGGTCGCGCTGCAGCAGCAGCAGCCGATATTTAAATGCGCGAAAAAGTGTCGAGCTCGCTCGCTCGCGCCTCCTCGAGCCAATAACGATGGTCGAGCAGCAAAAAACGCGTGTACGAGTGCAAGTGTGGCGCGAGACACCTTCTGCTACTTACTTACTTATGCTTGAACTAGCCCAAGACTCGAGTACGAACGCACAGGTCGATTTTCGCGCTTCTCGGTAAAATTACTCGGCCGTCTTATACACGGTCGAGGGCCAACGAGTGCACTACGTGCATCGATAAACAATACCGGGAAAAAGGGCTGAAAAATGGCTCGCTATAGCTGGCTCGCGAATGGCAATTAATAAAAGGCCTATTCGACGCGATAGTCGCACGATGGTACTTGCCGATATTATATGCTTACTCGTGTGTGTGTGTGCATAATAGCCGCGAGTCGAGGGAAAAAAGGTCGATCGTGGTCGGCGGTGGCGGCGCGAAGACTAATTGACGAGCGCGCGATATTGCTCGCGAAAATCGGTAAAAGTGGCCCAGCTCTCGAACTCGAGTCCTAATTAAACGATGTACAATTTATAAGGCAGCGCAGGCCCGTATACGTCTCGAGTCGCAGAGTCTAATGGGCCCCGTTCCTGGAAATCCAGCATCAACGAGGACCACACCTAGTATAATATAAGGCAGATTGTCATCGTGCAACGCCGGCAGCAGCAGCAGCAACAGCAGCAGTAGCAGCAGCGGGCCTAAAACCTTATACGTAGGTTTTTGTTGCTTTGTTTGATTTTTTGTCGTTGCTTTGGTCGCTCATCCTTGTTGTTGGCGAATCGCAACAGAGGAACAAGCAGCCGTGTGCGGTTGAAGCAAAACTTTAATTGACCACGCGAACCTTTTACTCGGCCTATTCGCTCAAGCTCCGCTCTCGAGTCGTTTCATAATTTTTATCGATTCTTTGAATATTTCCTGCAGCAGCAGCAGCAGCAACAGTGCAGCTCATGCTGATTTTTCTTCTTGGCTCAACATTTATACATTTAATAAACACATAAAGTAAATCATATAATGAGTATATATACTCGAAAGAGAGAGAGGAAGAGAGAGAGAAGCGATGATGGCTGAGCTATTCCAATTAGGCGAAATACGCGGCGGCAAAGCTGCGTTGGATCCTTCAGCGCGCAGTGCCTCAGCCGCGCGTACGCGTATGTGTGTATATATTTCGCTCGCTCGCCGATCTTTCCTCTCTTTCTCTCTCTCTCTCTCTTGCTCTCTGTGTTGGCTTGTATAAATTAGTCCCAAGCGGCGTCGGCCACATAATGGCGTGTCGATGCGCGCTACTGTATATCCTCCTCGAGCTGCTTATATTCACCTTTCTCTCGCTCGCTCTGTAGCAGCCGATCGGCCAACAGAGAGAGAGAAAGACGCGCTTAATTTACGACCAATTAATTTGGATAAACTGAATGGACGCGCGCGTCTCTCTCTCTCTTCTTTTTCTTCCCTGAACTCTCTGCATAAGTATATCTTTGTACGTGTCTGTGTGTGTGCGCAATCTTCCTCTTTATGCCCAGCAACATATACACACAGGCTACCGTATTTACGTGTCGCGGTGGCGATTTTTAAGCCTCCTCTGCTGCCCGCTAAAATTATGTCCTTAGCGATAATTTGTTTTTAAATGAAAAGCCAACGTCGTGGAATTAACTTTTCTCTCTCTCTCTCTCTTTCTCTCTCAGCGGCATCGTCCCTTGCGCCGCTCCCGAGAGAGAAGCCAAATTCAATTAGGCTGATTTCTTGCGTGCAACTACCTATATGTACATACGTCCTTGCCGACTATAAGCTATATAGGCAACGACTCGAGCTTGGCTTTATGCCTTCATCAAGTCGTCGCAGCAGTCGTATTTTCGACGCCAGCTCACCGAATATTACCACTGCCAAATCGTCCTTATTATACACTGACTCGGCATAGCTCGTTGCAGTGACGAATGATCCTTGACTCGTATACGTATACGTATATACTTATGTACTAAGGTGGCAGCGGTGGCAACTCCGGTCCTGGCAATTTGCTTATTGATTTCCTCGTGGCTTACAACTGGCTTGGCTTAACAGGGCCATTAATCATCTTGCGCGTTGGAAACACCTCGCGACTTCTCGAGCAGCCCTTTGACTGCTGCCATGGCTCTGTATACAAGTTATTTGGGTTGTAAGGCTGATCGTTGCTGGCAAGACACTAATTTCCCACTCGATTATTTTAGCGGAAAAGAGCGACGAAATTTGCCAATACTCGCAAGCACGCAGCCGACAACAACACGATGAACTTTATGTAGTCTATAGTTACGAGAGCAAAGAGGCGCGAGTGGAGTAGGCGTCAATTGTAATGTAGCCGACAGCTGATGAGCGACGAAGCACGAGGTGAGAAAAAGGGCCACGAGATTCTCTTCGCGAGAATGAAAGAGTAAGAGAGAGAAAGAGAGAGAAGAAAAAAAATGCCATACGAGATAAGCAATGTGTGCATTACACATTCGTGTGCTGCTTGGAATATTCGATTCCGAGAAATGAGGCAGTCCTCTCTTTCTCTCCCTCTTTCTCTATGTGTACCGTCGAAATGACACCCTACAGTATGTGTGTGTGTGTGCGCGAGTGCGAACGTATATATGCATATAGAGAGAGAAAGAGATAAGACGTTCGGGGCCACCCTCGCATTTGCATAAATAAAAGCTCGCTCGCTCGAGCACGCGATCTATACACACCTTTTCGTCTCTATAGCTGTATTATAAGTTCTACACGTGCAGCGACTATTTGTGTGTATCGGTGTGCGCGGTCGTGTGTCGGTACAGTCAGTCGACGAGTATATACGTTTGCTGCTCCGTTGTTGTAGCTAGCTCGACAAAAGACGGCGAGGAGAGCGCGAGCATAGCGCGAGAGACGAGGTGCGAGGATGACGTTTTTCCCTATCGGGCGCTATATAACGCGTTCTGCTCTACCTATACGTAGATGCAGCTTGGCAAGCATGAATTATACATATTTCCTACAATAAAAAGGATTCCTCTAATCGATCAAATGCCTATATATATAGCTATGATGTAGGTTGGAGCTTGGTCGGCCGATTGCCGAGTCTGTCGACGCGACGAGGAGTTTGCGTCTGCGCGCAATACCACTGACTATATGTAAGCTTGTGTGTGTGTAGGTATAATAATGGCCGTGTCCGATACTGGGATGTCGTCCTGCGTTGCTGCAGCGCCGCGACACAAACATAAAGTGCAGCAGCGCGCGAGCGAGCGAGCCGTAGCCGTATAGCCGAAGAAGTGAAGAAGGCATAAAGAAAGAATGGAATAAGGTGTGTTGTGGAAGGGAGCGGACTGCAAGGGATGCGCGTTCAATAGCACTTATACAGCTATATATGACATTATAAAGGGAATTGCAGGCGCGCACGAGGATCCGTTCGTTCGTTCGTCCGCTCGTTCGTTCGACGCCGATACATATTACGTATTCCGAGCGCGTACCTCGGCATAATTGGCCGCCAACTGCCTTCGCCGTGCTCCTTCCAACTCACCTCCGCATCCTCTCGACTGCACTGCATCCATACTCGATATATAGCATCGGCTTTATTAATATTATATACAATGCAGCACGTAGGCAAGCGTAGGCAAGCGAGATTATTTTTTAATTAATTGTCAGATATGAAGGAAGCGAGAGATGACGATGGACCGCGTGAAATACTTGTACCGCCGCAGCCAATCATTGCGAAAGTTTTTGAGCGATCGAAGCGATCTTGGCCGTCGGAGAGCCGCGAAATTTCCTTGCTGCTACTGCTGTTGCCGCGACGTGCTGCTGCAATCAAAGAGTCGAGATCGCGAGCGGCGGAGCTTTGATCCGACCAAAACGAGCTGCTTATACATATCTAGCGCAAATATCGCCGCCACCACAATGATCCAGCAGAGCTCAAAAAGACACTCGCTCTCGTCGTAGCAGCAAAGGACGGCGGCCCGATCGTCATGAGCGAGGTGTTGAATTTAAATTGGACGTAGCCGAGCCGCGAGGAGGCCAATATCTATTCGCTGGCATCGTCAAACGATGACCGCTCGGCGAATAATAATTGCGCGCATCAGCTGTGTTTGCTCTTTGTGCGCGCGACGACGACCTCTTGCAGGCGGCAAAGGCATATATGTCCCGCGAATGCCCAAAGTCCAACTGGACCTCCTCTTTCTCTTCTCTCGACTTGCCTCTGGCTGAGATCCCTCTTGGCTTACCTCGTCCGCAGCTCTTTGTTTGTCTCCAACTCGACCAGTTATGTGTCGAACGCGGTAAAATTGCGCCAACTCGGACTTGCACGTCTTCATTTATAATAGCCAATAGCAGCGCGGACTAATCGATGAAAATTGACTTTTCAATCGTTGGCTGCACAGGCGCAGAGCAGAGCACAGCTTGTCCGCGGAGCAACGAGCGCGCAGACCGATCACCAAGATAAGATTCAATTCAACTGCGGACTAAATAGTCGGGAAAAAAGGCAAGAAAAAAGGCAAAACTCTTGTGTTGCTTCTTTGTTTTTGTTTTTTTTTTAGTTTTTTGCTCCTTTTTTTTATCCATATACATATATAAATGTGTAATTGAAATAATCACTTTTGTTCAATCACTGTTTAGCACGCGACGTCGAATTTCTATTTACGTAGTATAAATAAATTATTCATCGTGCTCGTACGCGTCGCCATGTCATGTTACAATTTATACAAATTTTACTCGCGATCGATTTGTCATGGATTTTACACGAGTACTCAGTCATGCACACACACTCGGACACTATAGGCTCGTTAGCTTAAATACAATATTTACAGGATCGCGTAGTCGGCCCACATTATGTGCGCTTCGTATATAGGCACAACGCGTGCTCGTGCCGCGTTGAAATCAACATTTGTATTTTAAATCGGTGGAAAAAAGCAAAAATTTCGTGGCGCAGCTGCAGCTACTCAACCAAACGACATGTCTAATCGGCATGGCAGCTCGTTCAATGCTCGATACTAATGACAAAAAAACGAAAAAAAAAAACAAACAGAAAGTGCCCACTCGAGTAGTATACGAAATTCCGTCCGCAAATGCTTTGGTTGCTTGACAACAAGCTTTTGCGCGTACATGTATAGCCGCGCGCGAAATCACTTTGTTTTCGTATCACGGAAAACTTGTCGAAAATATCCCTAGGTCGTATGTATATGTACACTATGTATAAGCCGACAATGAGAGACGCGTTAAAAGTTACGTGCTTTCGTACGTCGTAATTCAGTCTCTCGGTGGAGCGATTCGAGCTCGCTACAGTCCGAGAGCTTTCGCTGAGATCAGGCAATGCTGCTGGCGCTGCGCCGATGCTGCTGCTGGCTCGTGCTAGGGCCGATGCGACGGCGGCTGCATGAACATGGCCGCGGCCGCGGCTGCCGCTTGGCTGTTCCTCGCCATGGCAGCGGCCGCCTGCGAGTTCCTGGCCATGGCGGCAGCGATGAACGGGGGCATCGAGGCCGCCGCGCCCGGCGGAGGGAACACGAGGCCGGCCGCAGAGCCGAAGCTCGGGTAGAGCAGCGGTCGGGCCGACAGCCTGTGCTTCTCGATCTCGGCCTCGTGGAGCCGCTTCGCCTTGGCCCGGCGATTCTGAAACCATATCTTCACCTGCAACAACAACGAGCGGGCCTCGCGCTATAAAAGTGCAACTTGTAAGCTGGCAATTGTAACAAATAGAGAGAGAGAGAGAGAAGTCGTGGAAGCTATTAGCGAGCAGCCGAGTCCGAGGGTGAGCGAGTTATTTTGGTCCGCGTCGCGAGAAAGCCACGGGTTATTTACTGCGGCCCGATGACTGATGGAGGCTTTCAAAGTATGCCCGAGCGTTGGAAGTAGGCGCGTTGGTATAAGAGACGTTTATTTGGCCGATGACGAGCGACGAGCGACGAGCTCGAGAGAGAGAGAGGAAAATGGCCGAAGTTTATTGTCCGTCGCGCGCTCGATCCAGCTCGCGAGCTTTGACATTTCGGCAGCTGTCCTCGTTGGGACGAGCAAGAGCGGAATATCGGGCTGCGGGTGTGTGCGCGCGCGACCCCCGACGCCGACGCCGACGCGAGAGAAAGAGGGCGAGGCGACGACTGGCCGAACGGCAATAAGCTGCCGCGCACACCTACACCTATACACGCAGCCGACACTCGAGAGAGAGAGGAAAATCAATAACTAGAGGCGTGCGCAGCTCTCGCGGTTTGCGCCCCGCCAGCTAGCTCGACTCTCGACGCCAGCGGCTATATACTACCCCCTTATACTCGTCGAGCAGCTATTTGTAAAGTCGATCGCTCGAGGATTACCTGAGTCTCGGTGAGATGCAGCGACGAGGAGAACTCGGCCCTCTCGGCGATCGTCAAGTACTGCTTCTCGCGAAACTTCTTCTCCAGCGAGAGCAGCTGCTGATTCGTGAACGGCGTCCTGGGCTTCCTATTTGGTTTGTGCTTCCTCAGGGTGCAGCGCACTTGTCCTGGCCCCGGTCCGGCTAGTCCCAGCTCACCTGCGGCCCACAAAAAATAATCCTCTTTTATAATCATCCTCGCAGTTTCAGCTGACACTCGCATGACTCTTGATTATTACGCGTGCACCGAGCTTTATTTATATCGCATTACACGCGTAATCGAGCCACGAGCTTTAATTTCCGATAATTGCGCAGCTGAGCACGAAAAACAATAGATCGGCGAAAAGGGATCACGTTGTACTTAATTAAATATTAACGCACGAGTCGATAAAATTTCATAGAGCGTTATGATTGTCACATGTGCCGAGTGTATGCGCGTATATGAATGTATATGATGTATGTACGAAGGCAGAAAATCCCTGTGGGTAAATAATACGTGCGATTGGTACATTAGGGGTGGCGATCCGAGCTGCCTGAGCGAATAAGCAATAGCATACGCGTGTGCGAGGGTTGGATCGGGCCAAGGGTCGATATTGCGGCAGCTCGTTTGAAGGATAAATGATGCTGGCCGATTATCTTTCGACTAAGAAAACATCGGCTCGCCGCCGCCTGCAGGATAGCTGTCGGTTAATCGCTATTATGCGATCCATCTTGGGCCTTTAGTCGCGAGGAGGGGAAACGAAAAGAAAAAAACCAACAAGTATTTTATGTACTCTCGCAACTGCGCACGCGGTGATTCGTAATTATTGATGCTATGGATGTATTTATCGAGCTGGCAGAAAGTCGCTGCAATTCCGAGCCAGAGACAAATCGCCAACTTTTCCGATCGAGTGTTTAAATAATTATCCAAAGCTATCCTTTAGGTCTAATTAAGCGCGATCGCGTCGAGCTATGTACTGCAATATAACGTAGTAAAAAAACGGCCCGAGCAGCTTTCGTCGCTCGATATACATCGAGTCGCTGCGGTATACGAGCAATGTTAAGTAGTAGTCGTCGTCGTCGCATTGCTATTACGGGAGGATATCATAATTTTTAATTGATGTATGCTTAGAAATGGGTAAAAAAGTGATCAATGCCCGCGTGCTGCTGCCAAGGAACAAAGTAATTAAGTGCAAATTAATGAGCATCTAGAGGCTTCCTCCGCTCAATGTGCTCGTGCGCGCGCTTTATAAGCGTATATATGTTTGCCGAGTTTTTGTCGCGTCTTCCGTTAGAGTTAACACAGTCGGTGAATAATCGTTCTCATGACCTCTTATCGACGATGACGACGACGACGACGACGACGACGACGACGAAGAGGAGGAAGAAAATAAGAGCCTCGACTGCGACGCGGTGGAGAGCTGGCAAAATCATAATGCATTGCGTCGCGCTTAATGAAGGCAGCGTTTAACGCACCTCCAGCAACGTACACGTACAACTCAATAAAGTCGAGTTTTGTGCAATCGATATAAAATAAGCGATCGCGACAAAAAGACAATATTGTGATAGATGTAGATATGGACGCGGATCGCTCGCGAATAAATCAATTATAAGTTTAGCCGTACTCGCTCTCGGATCCGCGCTGAGAAAAAGAAAAGGTGGCAGGACGAATTGTGAAAACACGTTTGTCCGTTGGATCTTGGGGCTTTTTGCGCGTGCGATCGCCGAGGTAGCTTTGCGGCATTGCTCGCTCTCCCGATTCGATTAATAAAATGATTTCGCAGCAGTTTCTTGCTCTCGGCCGAGCTCCTATATATAAAATCGATTTCCTGCAGCTTTTAAATTAAATTTCCAAAGAATTAATTAATCGGCTACGCGCGCGCGCACTCGAGCAAGCGACGTCAACTCGTGTACAAGATTTTGCCGGCGCGTCGAGGAAGATGCGCCAGTATACAGGGAATCATATCTCGGAAGGATCATAAGCGGCAAGTGTCGGCCCGAGCGATACCGGCCTTACTACACTCGAGCGTCGTCTATGCATTATGGATGTATGGCTCTATCGTCGTCGGTAGGATATGTGCAGTAGCTCTGCAGGGATATATGCACGTATGCACAGTACAGAGCGCGAGCTATAACCGTTGCGCTACACGAAGCTGGAAGGGGGGCAGGTTATACAAGATCGAGAATCCCGTAATGGCTACACAGGCCGGAGAAGTACGATTTCTTTCTCGGAACAGCGGCGTTTGTGTATGTGTGTGCATGTGTGAGTGCGAGTCGTTAGGTGAGAGGGAGAGAGAGAAAAAGTCGCAAGAGTGCAGGGCTGCCAGCGCGATATATCGTACCGAATTTGAATCGAGCGCGTCTCTTCTCGGCTGCTCGTGTTGTGACGGCTCGCTAATTGCAACCGGATCGTATAACGCGTTCATCGCCTGCCTGCCCACTTATTATACACCTTGTAGGTATGGAGAAAAATCGCCGATGATTTTCACACGTCGCGGCTGCGGCTGCAATTAAAGCCTCGAATTACGATAGCTTGTAGCAACGAGGCGATATCGCAGCTCGTCGTCGGCATTAGTCGGGTCGCACTTGGCTCGATGGCCGATACGCGACTTTTATCTGCTTTTTGCGGCAAAATCGTCGCAGCTTGGTCGCTGCTGCTGCTGCTGCTCTTGGCTCTTTGGATGCTGCTCGATGTTGCTCGAGTGCGACGACGAGCCGCATACATATGCAACTAATTGGACAAAGCTCGCGTCGCGTCGCGTCGCATTGTAAGTGCAGGAGGAGGAGGAGTAGGCCATACACATGCTGACGAGTGGTGAGGCGCACATACCAACACATACAGCATTACAGCGAGGCTTTAATTACATGCATGTTTCGGACTACTGGCCAAGTCGCCTCTGGCTCGGCCTGCTTTATTTATGTCGAGCCTATAGTGTCGCGCTCGCAATCGGCGCAATTTACAACATTATCAGCTACGCCTACATTAACTGCGTGTGTGCAGTAGCCGTACGCTATCGCGACTACAGTTCAAACGGCTCGGAATTGCACCTCGGGAATCGAGTGTGAGAGCAATTATAAGGCGTCGATTATTTTCCAATCTGTCGGCTCCGTATCGAGCTTTTGGCCAGCGATCCACGAATACATAATCTATATGGGAGCACGAGCTCGACGCTGTCGACTTTTCAGCGGCCGAGTATATACATAGTAGAGTAGCGACGAATTAATTGCGCGGCCGGCCTCATCGCGGTGCGCTCGCTGCCTTATCGTCCTCGTTATCCTCGAGTGAAAATTAATTACGACGGCGCTCGTTGTTTCTCTGCTCGCAGCTATATACCGCGCGAGTAGTGTAGCACGGCTGCAGGTGCAACAACTCGCGCACACCGAGAATTGTTATTGCGTACGTATAGGTGTATACTCGCGCGCCAACTGCACACGAGACTCGGACACGTAGGCGCGCATTCGTTACCGAAGCTAGAGCTCGCGTACGAAACGAGTCTAACTGGTACTCGCTCGACTGTATCCGTTCGTATACGCGCACCAAACTGTAGCGTGCGCGACGTGCAAAACAGCCACAACGTACACCTCAAGAACAAGCGTATACTTTTCAGAATTCGCGCGGCTCCAGTCAGCCTCGAGCTTTTAATTGGCCAGTCAAATCGAAAGCCGAAACGCCGAAGAGAAGCTGAGCGAGCCACCGAAAGCTCGCAGCGGTTATACGTACGAGCTTGGCGTAGCTCAAGGGCGATCGCCGCTAATTGCATTATATACTCGATGGCGGATGCATTATATGGCGCGTCGACGCCTGCCGCGGATACCTGGAACGCACATGCCGAGTCGCATACGTGCTGCCGTATACTCTATAATACAGCCGCGACGACACATTGCCATTCCGTTCACGAGCTGTGCTGGCGGCTCGCGCGAGTGCGCAGCAGACTGCACTACTTTGCCGAGAGACCATGTGCGTATAGACTACTCGACGCGCGCGGAGAAAGCCGCGAATAACAACGGCTTTCCCGCACCTACACTCGCGCGCACACCCGTAGCGAATTTCATCCTGCTATAGCCAAAAATATACTTTTCGTTTTTTGTCTGTCCGCAATCATAGTCACTCGCAGCTAGCAATTCCAATAATAACAATGACATAATTAATCCACACGAATTCAATTATTATCAAAAACAGTCAGAACGGATTATTTTCATTCAATAGATACGAGAAATATAGCTTGAAATTGCTGCAAGACCAATCCTATTCTAGCTGCAGACACGAGTAAATTTTTGCCAGCACGATATCGTATTTTTCATCGTTTCCTTTTTAATATTCGTTGACGCTTCGGAGAGTAAAATTTATACGTCTTGCTACTGTTTAATCGCTGCAGTCGACACAGTATAATAGCGACGAGTGTTGTTTGGGCACTTATCGATTATTCGCGCGTCCGTCCGTTGCTGCGAGTGCGCGCGCGTGTCTCGAGCTCTCCGAGCCATTGCCATTGTCTGGCCACACATTCACGGACGCGCACAGATGCCACTAGCTCGACAAAAAGGACTATAGAAATGCGTGTCGCTGGCTTACCGTTGGGACTGGCGTGTCCTGCGTGGCCCGCGTACATGTGGCTGTGGAGGTTGGGTAGGTGGGGCAGCCACGCGAAGCCCGGCAATCCGTGCGGGAATCCCGGCGGAGGCGGCCCGGCTTGCGGCCAGGCCGAGGCTGCGGCAGCCGGGCCCGAGGCGGCAAAGGACCTCGCCACCGCCGGGTGGATCGGCTGGGGCACGAGCGGGCAGGCCTTGAGCGGCTGCTCCTGGCTCGAGGGCCGCTCCTCGTCCGAGTCGTCGTCGACGCAGAGGTTCTCGTCATCGCTGCAGGGGGTGATGGCCTCGTCGTCGCTGGCCCGAGCCCCGTCCGGTGAGGCTTGGCTGTCGGGTCTGGTCGGCGAGTCGCCGTTGTTGCCCCGACTGTCACTGTTGCTGTTGCGCTGACTGTTGGCGATGTGCTGCTGCAGCAACTGGCGACTGATGGCCGTGACCGTGGGCGAGGAGCGGCTCCGGCTCAGCAGCGAGTCGACGCTGAAGCTGATCTTGGCCTGTCGCGAGGAGGAGACGGCCGGGACCAGGGCCGGCTTGCAGGAGAGGCTCGAGCTCGGCGGGGGCGGTGGCGACTGGGACGAGGTGCCGCTGCTGTCCTGCTGCTGCTGCTGCTGCTGCTCGCTGCTGCTCGACTCGACTAGCTGACTGCGCGACGACTGCTGCATATTATTCCTCGTCACCGTATCACAAGACGTAGCCAGCAGCAGTTGGCGATGGCCGAGCCATCGTCTCGCCTTCAGCGCACTCAGTCTCAAGCCGCGCTCGCTTCGACGAGTATCGTTGTAATGATGACTTTGGAGTCGGACTCGAGCCGGCTAGCGCGCCTTATCGTCTGCTGCTGCTGGCGCTGCGGCTCCCAGTTGCAAGACATGCGGCCACTTTGCACCACGAGACCGCACGAGAGAGAAAAAGAGCGAGGGAGAGAGCGAGAAAGAGAGAGCGCGAAAGAGAGTAAGAAAGAGTACACACTGTGCCGTGAGTGCCTCGTCGCGTATATAGCTAGTCGTCGTCGTCGAGTATCGAGCATATACGTATATGTATATAAAGAAAGAGAGAAAGAGAGAGAAAGAAAGAGCAGCTCGCGGCTGCAACTCGGCAAACGCGGACTCGATCAGGCTGGAGAAACGGCACTGATTACCGGCTCCATAGCCGAGACGCTCGCGAGCTCGGCAGCGACCGCCCCGCGACCCTTTCACCGAGGCCGACAGCGCCTCCGACTCCCGAGCCGGACCAATGGGAGTCGGCCGGCGCCGGAGCTGCGCCAGGTGGGGGGCAGCCGACCCGCCTGAACGACTCCCCCTTGTGCCGCCCGGTCCCCCCCGCGCTCCAGCCTCTCCGCCACTCCGCTATATATGTATACGACACCGCTGCGAACGAGGTAGGGGCACAGTCGACGGACTGCTGACTGCGGCACGTAGCGTCTGCGGGAGCGTTCGTGTATACGTTATATAGCAGCGGCTCGAGCGTACGACGACTCCTAATTGTCTAATTCCCGGGCTAGTGCGATTGATTGGCAATGCTGCACGCGCTCCATCTGCGACTCCGTCCACACCTATTATATATAGAGTTGCTGCGTTGTGCATATAGTCCAAACTACATGAAATCGCATTTTCGATTCGATTATTAACGTACACTTTGACTGCAGGCAGCCAAGACGATGCGCTGCTCTTTCCAGTCAAGGACGCACCTATATACATTCACAACTAAATGAAAGCAAGCTAATTACGCTTTTCGCGCGGATAGACTCGTATACTCTTTCGGATGGACGTGTCTCGAGCCAACTAATTCACACGCGCGCAGAAATCAATGTTTAGCATAATTTTATGCCACGCAATTTGCAATTCCTCCTCGTTTTGCGTCTATATGCTATATGGCCGTCGTCTTTTTGCTCGCAACTCTCTCTCTCTCTCTCTCTCTCTCGCGCGAGTCTTACATGTGTTGCATTAGCAGCCGTTTACACGCTGCGTTTACCTAGCGGCTAAATTTATGCGTTCGCCGGAGAAGGAAAAAACACGTCTTCGTTAACGTCAGCCTGGCAGCCGACAGCCGAGAACGCTCAAATGCTCCTGGCATGCTCGTGTATACGTACGTAGGTACGTGTGTACGGCCCCTGCAGAGGCTGCAGCCCAACCGAATATTCGTCGCTCCTCGCGTGCGAGCTGCCTCGAAAGTCCAAGGCTTGAAATTAGACCGAGGCACGCGAGCGAAAAACCTATACTCCGCTCCTTCTCTCCAGCTCGACTCTCCTCTTTTTCCGCCCAGCCTGACCAGCTGAGCCGAGGCCAAAGGATCGACTTATCGCACTTATTACATCGTCCATCCTTCGTGGCTCGACCGACGCGATGACGCGTGAATTTTCTCCTGCTTTCATCGACTTTGCTCTAATAATGATCGATTCGTGCCAAGCCGAGGCAGATATCATCTCTCGAGTAAACAAGTGAGCCACCGAATCCGCCCGAATGTACGTAATTACGCCCAATCGCTTTATAATAAAGGCGACGCGTTATAGCTGCCAAAATTTGACGTCGAATCGCGCGGCGCTCATTGTATTTTTAGTGCTCGCATTAAATCGAAAGGATCTCTAGATCATCGCGTCGAGCATTGAGTCGTCGTCACGTACTATACGATACGGGCAGGTTTATTGCGAGAGTCGATAAATTAGTCGTAGCGTCGGCTCGACAGTTATTTCGAAAACGTTTTATTTTCCTCGTCGATTTTCAGGCTTTTAATAAAAAAAAGCTAAATGGCCACGATGGCGATATTGACGCTCTCGATAAAAAAAAAACGACACATATTTACGAGTACGGGAGCTGGCTGCGAATTAATTTTAGAAAAATTGATGCTCACACATTTGAGAATGATTTAAGCTTGTTTTTCTTTGGTCGATCGGTTAACCACGCGCCTATTGGTGACAAGGAGCTAAAGTGTGTGACTTGCGGTTTCGACTAATATAAATGTAATCTACTTGAAAAGTCGAAAATCAAAAGCGGAAAGAGATGTTGGATGCTTGAGACGCAGACACGTCTATGATGTACAAGTGATCAATCGAAAATTCTCTAATAGTATAATATAAATAGGCGCCTCTAATTGCCCGAGTATCGACTTCCCGTATGGCGGCTCGTTATCACCTCTTCCGTGGCCTGCAAACGGAATTGATCTCGCCTGGTGGAGCGTAAGTGACAAGTATAGCTATTTTTTTTTGGTCGTCGAGTAAGGCAAGCCTAAATCTCGGCTGGGAAACGTCGATGCAGAGGTCGCAAGAGATGTTTCGAGAGACGCTCGAACGAGCCAAGCAATCGTAAAAGGGCAGCTAATGAATTTTTAACGGACGAGCAGTGGCTCGAATTGGTGGAAAATGTTTACACTACCGGGGCCTTTGTCATGCAAATGGTAATGATTTTTGGCAATTACATTTGATTTGTACCAGTCCGTTATGAGCGCTAATGTTTGCAGAGAGAGAAAGAACGAGAGGGAAGGAAAAAAAGAGAAAGAGAGAGAGAGCTGGGGAGGGTTGGTGTATATGGTGTAGGGTACATTATTGCAGCTCGAGTCGATCGGAGCTAGCGTGCGAAAGGCAGGCAGGCAGGTTTGCAGGCGGGCGCGCGAGCTAAGTGGTTTTGAATAGCGAGAAGCTGCTGCTGCTGCTGCTGCTGCCAAGTCTATTAAAGAGCTCCGGCTAGCTGCTACTGATATAGTAGTGTAGCGCGACTCGCAGGCAATCCAGTTTAGGTACAAAATGGCTGTCATTTAGCCGAGGATTAATGGTCTATCTGGTGTGGCGTACTGAGCGCACAGAGCGCATATAGGTAGAGAGAGAGAGAGAGAGTCTGAATCGTCGGGGCAGATGCAGCAGCAGCAGCAGCAGCAGCGCGCGCAGATCGTCGGCAGCATTAACCTCATTATATACACCTATCCTCGACGCGTACTCGCTCCATTATGCTCTTTTTATACGCTTATACGAGCTAGAGCTAGCTGCTAGTGCGCCGCCGTTTAGCTGGGCGTTTTACGCTCGACTGGCTTCTCTCTAACTACTCCCCTTGCGCGTCTATATAATGCTATGTACACACACACGCATACTCGTACCGTTCACCCCAAAAAGGAGCAGCGTCTGTCCGTAAGTACGCTCACGTACACGCACATGTAGCGAGGATAGGATAGGATAGGACGCACGCCGAGTACGCCGCCGCCGCCGTCGACTCGTGTATATAAAAGTCATGAAGTGTGTATTATATATCACGGAGTCGAGTAGCTGAAAAGCATGAAAGCGCTGACAGAGATTTAGAGTGTATTTATAACGTTGAATTAGCTCTTGAATAACAGAGAGAAACGAGCGTACGCACTGGATCGAGCGAGCTGCGAGAGAGGGAAAATCTTTTCGCTCATCCTATGTACCAAATATACATTATACATGCTATGTTTATCGCATTATTCGCGCCTAATAAGCTGCACGCTAATCAATTGACTTTTAATGCGCCCAAAGTGTCCGGCTCTCTCTTTTACTTTAACAGTTCATAGTTGTAAGCGAGTCTTGCATGCACCCTCTGTGTAGTGCACGCGCGCGCACCAGCGACCCAACGGCCAATGCCGATTCAACGCGCTACAAGCTCAAACGACGCGACGCCATTTACTAATAGCCCGTCCACTTTTTTTTCGGCTTCGTTTTCAGCGTCTTTTGTACTGCACGCGTTCTCCTTGCTTTTTATGACTTTTCAAGACTGCATCGAGAGAGAGAAAAAAAACTCGTGAGAACTTATTATCGTCCCGATCGCCGAGCACGACGCAGCCAGCTACCTTCCTACTCTCTCTCTCGCTCTCTGGCATAGTTTTTCTCGACTCATTTATTAGGCAAACTATCCAAACTGCCTATTTAATAATTCCTCGGCTCTGCTTGTGTGTAAACGATTACGCGACAATCTTTGGCCGCAATCGAGTCCCTCTGTACACAAATCAACTTCGAGCTCTTTATCTGTTTTCTTTTTTGCCGCTGCGACAGTCGAAAATTGGTTAATGGGTCAGACGCGACGATCGAGACTATTTGTTTACGCAAGATTCGTCAGGAGGCTACTGCTATTACGTGCGTTGCACGGCTAAGGTGCCCTAATAAGGCGCGAGTAAATATTTTGCCTCCAAATAGCTCGTAAGCTGCGAGCTTTTCTTACCTACTTAGCTATAATCTTCGATTGACTCTATCGGACATTTTCAGGCAGTACAAACAACATCTCCTGTAAGCATATTATCCAAAAGTAAATAGCGGACGTGATTTTTTCTTTTTCAATCTGCATCGTTGTTTACACTCGAACGATCTAATCGACTCGTTTAAGCATTTCAACACTGGCATATCTTGATATGCTCATTTGTGAAATTACAATCCGTTAATGAAGAGTTTGATGAAAAATAGCTGGTTGATATTGAGTCAAGCTTAAAATCTGCAATTTATTAGACTTGGCGTAAATTATGTATCGCCAAATACTCGAAGAAATATCCGAGTTCAGTTCAAGAGCAAATAGGAATTGAAATACATGGCTGTGCTCTCGCTCCTCGTCGCTTGGACTTTGCTCGTCGAAAAAAACCAATCGAGTCTTGCTACATGGGACTTGCGATAAGCGACTCGCTCGTAAGCGCGCCTTTATAAATTTCGACTCGTTGGAAATTCAGGGCAGGAAATTAGAGCGGAGCAAGTGTTGCAGCGATATGACACGTTGGCTCGCTCGGCTGCAGACGGATCGTCGACGGTCGAGCAGCAGCTCGAGAGTTCGCGTGGGTGTTGGGCGCTCGCGGAGCTATATCTCGGAGCAGCATCTTCCCACATACGGAAGCTCTATGGTGCGCTTACGGCGCTTTAGATATACCTAGTCGCGCGCGAGGCCGAGGCAGAGAGCTCGACGTTTCCCGAGTCGTCAACTCGCGCCGCAACGCGGATACTATATACTCGGATTCTTTTTACTCGTTCGATTCGTATACGTGTGTAATATTATTCGCGAGCCGAGCCGAGCGACATGACGATTCCGAAAAGTCGAGCGTGGCCAGATTTCGAGTTTCTGATTGAATTCGTCGAAGGTAGCCGGCCATTATAATGACATGCGCGCCAAATACACCTCAATAGCCGCTTTAATTGAGCGAGAAGGTATTTTTCGGCGTATTATAGGAGCTCCAACAGCTAATCATTACTCTAATGGCTCGTCCATATAGTGATGAGGAGGATCGATTAGCGAATAAGCTGGCCCCCTTCTATTTATTGTATGGCTTTTAGCGCAGATTGGCAGTGGGCAATAGCAGCACTAGTTATATACGCGGCCAACGAGATGTTATATAATACTCGGAAATTGATCGCGTTCGAGCGGCTAGCTAGCGGAGACTTTGTTTTTTCAAATGACCTATAGCTTTGGCGGATTACAAAGCTTCAAAGTATGGAAAATATTACGTACAGTTTAAATTTGCTCCTGTCGCGTGCTGTGTATGCTCAGCTATTACAAGGACAAACAAGCCGCGCGCGTATATAGTCGCATATAGTAGCTTTTGACAAAACCTAACTCGCTCGAGCTAGTTAATGGCCTATTTAGCTATTGTGGATATTTGTGAAGCAACAATTATCTAGAGCAGATGCGGCGTTCGCTCGGGGGCCAGCAGCAGCAGCAGCAGAAAGTAAGCGCGCATGTAATACGAAGAAGACGAAGAGGTTCGCGTGAAAGCTCGACATTAAAAAAACGCGAGCGAGAAAAAGAGCTATATAAAGTAGCTGCTGTGCAGGCAGCAGTTTGATAAGAGAGTCTTGATTGCGCTCGCTTGTTCTGCCAGTGGCGTTGCTTGTTGGCTGCTGCTCCCGAGTATATAACTCACTGCTCCGCAAGCGAGTCTCTCGTGCGCGAGTCCGTGTACGTATAGGCCGTACACGATTTTCGATTTGCATACTTTGCATTCGACGTAATGCAGCGGTTGCGTTGCGAGCATATAGCTGCCGCTGCTGCCGGTCGACTTTTCCTCGCGCGCCTCGCTGCACCGCTGCAGAATATGCTCGCGCATACGTATTATAAATATTGAAACGACGCCTCGTGCGCGCCAATGTGTTTATCGACTATTTTGAGAAAATAGTTATGTGAATTGTATCTCTCTCGGCGCGCACACACACACGAGAGATGACGCGCGCGTCGATGCTGCAAAAATAATCGGCCGAAAAAAAAGTGTTGCGTCCGAGTAGCTGCTGCCGCTGCCAGATAAGATTGTGCATTCTCTTAGTCGCGTATTGTGCAGCTATCGTGTGTGTATTAATAATAACGTGAAAAGGCGAGAAACGAGCTCGCATACAATGTGTGCTGGTATAAAATGTGGCCGGGCATTTTTCAGCCTCGCGATATTCGATACCAATTCGAATTAGATTAATTGAAAGCGAGATAAGGGGCTTGTACTTGCTTATATACATACGGATGCGGAGCGAGCTCCGAAGAAATTGTATAATACTTTGCCGCGCGATCGTCATATCCGCGCGCAAACAGCTCGCGCAACTCTCCCGGCTGCAATATAACGAGCGAGCATATAATTAATTTTCCCTCGTTTGTAATGGACAAATCTCGCATCTCTGCTGGCTGCTATAGCTGCTCTGTCTTTGGCAATTAGAAATCTGCTCGGCTCTCCATTATCATATATATTCGGCTAATTAGAGCGATGCGTCTATCTCCCTTTGGCCTCTCTCTCTCTCTCGGTGTTTGTGCCTTCGCTTCAAATACAATGCATTGCATATCATTATGATTGTTCATTCATTTTTCCGGACGCGAGAATTCCTGGAAGACGATTATAATTGGGTTGTAAGAACGACGAAAAAAACAACAAACAGCCGCGCGAACAATCATATTATACATACACACACACACACACGCACACGAGTGCGAGTTTTTTGATTCCGCTCGAAACTGGCATTGTGTACGTAAGCGATATATGCCGGCTCGCAAGGAATTAATTAAAGACTAATTAATTATTATACAATTTTAAACGGCTATCTTTTTTCCTCTCTCTTTATATGGGCATTGTGTGTATGTAAGTTGGCAATAATTATTGCTGACGAAGCCGAGTGTCAATTGCAACGCGCCCGTTGATAAGAACAAATTCGATACGCAGTGCCGTTTAATAATCGTTTTGGCCAACGGTAAACATGCGCATATATGCAGGATATATGATGTTTTAATTATGCATGCGCGAGAGAGCGCGCTAGCGACTCGGGAGGAAAAAAAAAACAGATCCATGCGAGAGGGTTCCGTTTGTTGCTCGCTTCCGGCGAAATAACATAACGCGCGCTGCACCGAGCGAGAGAGAAAGGGAATTATATGTGTATGTATAGCCCGCAAGAAAAGAAGACATGCACATTTCTCGCGAGTAATTAATGTGCGCGCAACTGCACTATATGCTCGCGCTCTGTTTTCCATTTGAGCAGCTGTTAATTGTCAGTGACTAATTACCCATGATGCTTGACCGAAACTTTTCACGCTTTCTCTCTCTCTCTCTCCTTTTCTCCCTTGTGTATTTTATTATTAATCGTAGATACGTGGCTCGGATATGCTCGCGAGCTATCAATTTTGACCCTATATATAGTAGCTGAAAGACGAGACGAGACTCTCGCTTCTCGTAATTCGCGTAGAAAATCTTTAACCGCTGATAGTGATAATAAAACGAGCTTCAATAGCGCACATGAACACTGTTTTATAATCGTTTCTGCGTCTGCAGTCGCTCTGTAAAAGAGAGCACTTTTTTTTGCAAAGACCTCTTCTGCAGCGACTTGTTTGTCAGTAAATACAAATGCTATCGTAAAAAGAGAGTGAAATTCCACGCGCAAATACGACATCTATTGCGTCTCTATGACTAATTGCGATCGGAGAGATCGTCGCAACTGAGAAAAAATGAACTCGATCGAATTGTCAGATGCATATATGAGAAACCTCTGCAGTTGAGTTGCTCTAGCTCTCTTTTCGATTGCAAAGCTCATTAATTAATGCAAAATGAACCAATATAATTAGCAAAGTAGATTATCGACTCCAGAAGCTTAATGAACGCTTACACACACACACACATACGATAGATAGACATCAAAGGGTGAAAAAATTAACGATTCATCATCCTACAATATACGCAAAATTGACTCGGGCATTTGCGTAACGTGACTGATTGAGCACGCTAACTCGTAACACCATTCAATGATCAAAAGCAACTACAGTAAAAGCCAAACACATTCATATGGGTAATCGTCACGTAAAGCTTGTTTTTTTACTACAATTGTGGATCGCACTTTGCTTCGAAAATTTCCTTATTTATAATACGTCATTTCACGCGTGACACCTAACTAGGATTCTATAATTGAGGACTACATCAAATTTTAAAGGGGGACAGCAATAAGACAAAATATGAATATCGAGCCTGTCTTTTTTGATAAAATGAGTCAATGTCGTAAATGACTACTAAAAACGAAACTCTTTTTTAACTCGAAAACTATGTTTAGTGGAAAATTTAAAAAAACAAAAGTCTTGAAATTCAAACGACTTTTTTGGCCATTATTCGCTTTTTTGGACTTGTTTCGACATTTTTTGCGCATTTTTGTAACCCTATAATTTTTTCTGGACTTTAAACTTGAAGCTCATTACAAAAATTGATTTTGAGTTTTGTTTTCTTTTTCAAAAGCAAGCTTCTAAAGTACTGATTATTTTGCAGTATTTTTACTTGAATATTTGAAAAATTTCCAGGAAAAAGCTCTGTAGGCCTTTTTTTCTAAAGTCACTCTTTGTCTAGCTAGGAATTTATAAAATAATCGCAAAAATTCACCAAGTTTAACGTGTTGGCAGAAAAAAATATTTTGTGTAAAAGATCGTGTAAAAGATTGCTAAAATATCATCATACTTTGAAAGTGCATTCTTTCGATGGCGAAAGAATTGTACAAGTGCATTCGCAGCTTTTACTGATATTAAAGTCTCAAAAATCAAACATTCAACATAGAACAATGTTGCAATTACACATATTTAGGTGCGAATTTTCATACTCATAAAGTTATGCAAATGCGAAAATAGAATTTTATGATTTGATGTTGATTCTTAAAAGTAGACGCGTAAAAGGAAAATTGTTGAACATTTTTAAGCTGCTGATCGTGCTACGGTTTCTTAATTTATATATTAGTGATATATGTGAAAATGAGAAGGATTTCAACTGAACTATTTTGTATATTTTAGTAGTATCAATGCACGATTTTTAGCTGCGCAAAGGGCAAGACATGAAAAAAAAAAATTTAATATACATTTAAACGTTATTATTACGCTAAAATTAATTTTTACAAAATATATTGCTAAACAATAATTTTTTCTTCAACTACTTTTATAAAAATATAATGTATATAGTTTACATTCACTAAAAAAATATCATCTAGATGAAATTGCTTTCTCCGCGAATACGCCTCGCCAGCTGCATATCGCGTGGCATAATCGTCACACGTTTACCGTGTATTGAACACAAATTTGTGTCTTCAAATAGTCCGACCAAATACGCCTCAGCAGCCTCTTGAAGGGCCAGCAAAGCGCCGCTCTGGATCCTTACGTTGTCCTTATAATCTTGAAAAATCTCTCGTACTAGTCTTTGAAAAGGCAGTTTTCTGATGAGGAGCTCCGTGCTTTTTTGGTAATACCTTATTTCTTGTAGGGCCAGCAGCCCTGGCTTGAAGCGTATTTTTCTATTCGGCTTTTTGGACGTCACGATGTCGTCTGAGCTGTGTAACTCTGGCGGTTCATTTTTTGCTTCTTTTTCAGTACGAAGTACTGGTGCCGGGCGGCCGGTGGTCGACTTTCGAGCCGTTTGTTTCGTCAACTGCTTTACTCGTGACATCTCTGTAAAATTAAAAATTTTATAATTAAAAATTGCGACTCGTAAAGAAAAATCAGTGCGATTCGTAGAATGAATATTTAAAGTCAAATTTCAAAGTCTCGTCGAGAATATTGTGTCGAGTTTGCGCTATTGCGCTGATATGATACACGTTGCGGAATTTCCAGGGCGTTAGAGTGTGTATTATTAGGGACATGTGCGAAAGAGAAAATCTGTAGAGGGTAATACTTGAGGACGGAGAGCAAAGCGAAAGCGTATATTTATGCGCCAGGACGAATTCAATTGGAAATCAATGATACAGCCGCACGATGGCGCGTCTCACCCCACGCTCCCTCCTACCTCGGCTGCCGCTATTCAGGGTAATGGAGTATAATCGAATAATGTACAAAAGGCCGCTTGGTCGGTGTTGCATGACGAGCTGTTCTCTCTCTCTCTCTCTCCCTCTCATAGCACCTACATCCAAAGTAATAAGACCATTTAAAAAGTTATTTCGTCTGGCAATGCAGACACGATCGAACATTATATTCCAGGCGCATCCGACTAAATATCGAATCATAAACGCTCGTATTATCGTTGTATATCGGGAAGCGTCGTTAATGCGCATCGCTGCGCACACGCGAGTCTTCGTTATTGCTATTATCTGTGTAAATGTTGCACAACGGCCAACAACACAACGGGCTGCATTAAATTCAATTCCAGGAAAATATGATCGATAGAGAAAAGATTAGCCGAATGGCAATGCTGATTGCGAGTACAGCGTATACATCTGTAAAGGCGAGCAACCCTTGGGCACATCTGTTATTAAAATTACACGCCGATCGCTTCGGAAATATTAGAAGCCAATGCTCGAGTGCTGCTACTGCTGTTTGTCCAAGCTGCGATGCGGGCACTTTTCAATTAAGAAATCCGACGTGAGCGATCGAGCGCGTCTCTGCTAATATTACCTCTGATTTGTTCCGAGTGCCCGATTATACGTATGCGTTGGCGGTATTTTAATATGCTCGCGCTAAAGATGACGAATGCTGCAGAGCATCGACAACGACGACGCGAATCGATATCAAGGCACAATTAGAGATCATAAAAAGTCAAGTTATACGCGAAGCTGTCATTAATCACAACAATTGGACCGCGATAGCAAATTTGTAGCTGCGAGCGAGCGGCCCATGAAAGCCGAGAAATACGTCGAAAAATATGCCAAAGTCAGCGTGGGCGTGCAAAAGGTCGCCTCGCTCGATTCATGAATTAGCGAAATAATTTATTAGGCGTAATTTTCAATGGGCTCCAAATTGAATTTGATTTAAGTACAAAGTGGCATTGTAGGACCGGGAGCTCCCCGCACGGACCGAGAGAAAAAGAGAGAGAAGAAGGCGATGCTAACTAGCGAGCGAGAGAGCTCGGCTGCCCGAAGGCTTCGAGAGCCTTTGGCATCCTTTTTTTTCGATAGCCAGCACAGCTCGGGATCGCGCTCGGCACTCGGCTTTTATGCGTTCAGCTCGAAACGATACTTTGCATGGTTGGCACGGCCCATTGACATCCGCAAGAGCTGGGCCAAGAATGCGTTGAGCGATACATGCCGAGACTTGATTAATGCCCGCGATCGGCTATTGATTCGCTCGCGTGAGATCCTCATCGCCGGCGATTATCATGTCTCTGACAATGAGCCTGCGAAAATTATGCTCATAGCTCGTGAATCGCTCGCGACTCGCTCTTGGATCCGAGCCTGTGCCGCGCTTATCAGTCCGATTGTTGCTTGGCTTTTTCACGCTCTTTACAACGCCTCCATCTCCCCCTCCCTGTCAATTGGATCGTTTTCAACTTAACGACGTAATTAATCAATGCGCGTGAAAAGGTTGGCTTTGTAGCGCGAAAGGAGATTATTCACACGCGCGCAGCCCGAGCGAGAAAATCAGCGAGTCACGGCGTCGTGTGCTGTGTGACTGCGAGAGCTCGAGAGACGAAGCCAAGACACCGATGCAAAGGAGACGAGCCAAGGATATCGGCGATGACGATGATGATGCTCCTTTTGCCGAAGGAATTCAATTGCATCACGCCGACGATCAAACGCAGCTCGCAGCATCTCCGTAATGTATAAAATATATTGTATAATGACGCGGGCCGGCCCGAGCCCGGATCGCCGTGTGCGACCAGACGCGACTCTCGCGTGTATGCACGCGTGCATTTACAGCTGGCCCCAATCAGCGAGCCATTCAAAAATGGGAGAGGCTGCAACCGCCGTTTGCCACCTACGCGCTCGACGATTCGCGCCCAAGAGCTGCTACTCGCAACTCTGCTATTGTCGTTGGAATGCTACGGCTGCTACTTATGCTCACGCTGACTTATCGAGTCACCGCATCGATCCGCGCGCACCCCAAATAAGCACGAGTCAATTCGCAAGAATTTCGAGCAAAACGTACGAAAATTCAAGATATTTCGAGCGGAGCAGCCTCGAGTCTTGAGCTGCAAACGACGCTTAAAAAGAATAATTTTCTCGACTTTTCTCGCTGATCGACCCAAGACCGGACAATGTCTCTACGAGCCGCAGATAATAATACTGAAATTTCAGAATTATGCTTTCATTAGAGTCTCCGAAGGAGGCTTTGGCACGTGCAATAAATCCAAGTCACACGGATCTAAGGCCGAATCATATCGTATCATAAAGTCTATTATGCGTTATTATAACGAACACGAAAATATATAAAAATCGGAGGAAATCCATCAGGAAGATTGAATGAGCAGGAGAAGAGAAAGAGCGAGATACAAGAGTAATATGACATATCGTAAATGCGCGCGAAGATCATTCAGTGGCTTGCTCGAGAAGGGGGGAATCACACTTATACAATACAAGAACGAGGAGAAAAGAGAGAGAGAGAGAAGCAGAAGGCATTACAGAGTATATAGATGCACGCTGCAATATACTTTGGAAGTATTTTAAAGTCACTTGAGGAATCATTGTGGTGTTTTTCTCTCAAAGATTTTTTGATTTGTCCTTTGGGACAGGAGAGAGAGAGATAGAGAGAGAGAGAGAAGAGCAAAAAGCGAGTTCATTGAAAGAATATTATTATAATACACCCGAGATTTGTTCGAGAGGGTCTGACAATGAGTCGCGCGCCTGTATAAGAGCGACGCGTCGAGAGCACAATGGCCATATAATATACACGATCCAGGTGTCGCTTTTGCGTTTTGGCATTATATCCTACCATTACAAAACACTATATCATTCGCGTTATGTTTACGTATATGAGTGTGTGTGTACATCCACATATGCACTTGAAAGTGCAAAGCAGTGTCAGGCTCTCGCACTAGGCACGCTGCACGGGTGCATGAATGAAGGCGAAACTGCCCTCGGCTCTCGAGAGTTGCTACTATGAGGTGTAAGCGAGCCGATGCCACTTCAGGCCAGGTGTAATGTGTGTGCCCTGTGGTCATCATAATTTGATTCGCTCCGCCCCGTTCATTAAGAGTATAAATTCCAACCTCTCTCTCTCTACTGAGCGTTGCTGATGCTGCTGCTGCTGCTGGCGTTGCATCTTTTCTGCTTTTTGGACCGAGGCAGGCGCGATACATACAATGATACGCGAGAGGAGACGACGGTTTTTTTCAAGCACGATACGACAAAGAGAATCGGAAACAAACTTTTTTCGTTGTTGTTACGCGCGCTCGAGCCCTTCCATATTCCGGCGGTGGAGGCTACGCTTAGCTTCGCGACACACGGCAGATAGCACAGCAGCCTAACAATACCCTTGGCTGCCCTCACCGAACGAATGATTTACATGTTTCGAGCAAAGAGCTCGAGAGAAAGAGCTCAAGAAAGAGAGAAACGATTCGAGATTTATACGGCTCGCTCGGATAGTGTAGGGTCGTGGCGCGCGTCAAAAGACAATATTCACAGAATGTGGTTATAATTTCATAGCAATGCAATGGCTTGACTTACTTTATTGTTTTTAGGACTCGGTGCAGTAGTCGAATGGCAAGTTCTCCTTGGCACGTGTTGGCAGCTTTGCTTGTGCGTGTAACCCTATCATCGACCAGCCAGCCGGCTCTCGTTCATGGCTCAACTCTCGAGGACTAAGTGAAATCAATCGGCCGTTAATTGTCGAGTTACGACACAGATGCGAGCGAGAAATTCGCAATGTGTGTGTTGTTGTTGCTGGCAGGTCTCGCGGAGCGCCGCCTGGCGAGCCCGCCGTATCAATCGCTCGCGCGCGCTACTTGACGAGTTGGTCGCCCAACAGTCTCAAACACGTCCGAACGCGTGTCAGTGTTGACTGTGTATACAAGGTGCACAGCTTCCAATGTTGTCGATATAATTCGCCGCTCTTTCTCGCGCGCGGACCGCTTGAACTGCTATGCCTTGAAATTTAGTCGCGCGTAACGAGCAGCCACTAGAAGCCGCCACGTGTCGCGGACAGCCTTTTTACGCCTTTGTATCATCTACTACTTTATCGGCGACTTTATAGCCGATATAAGAGTATGCGTGTATTGTATAGCCGATCCTGGCAATTATAATAAGCAAGTATACCGACGGCTGCCGAGCGACTCTCCTATTATAGCATATTATTATAGGATTCAAGATCGATTGTCGTTTCGTGTCGCGCATCTTAGCTTGGACGCGGGCCTATTGTAGCGATCGTGCCTCGAGGACCAGCCTGACGCTGCGCAACGGCTCGTCGAGCTCGTCGAGCTCTCCACATGTGTGCCTGTAGTGCATTATTCGAGAGGAAAATTGCTCTCTTCTATTTGGCCATTTGATCCTGTATAAATTCGACTTTTCGTCCACTCGAGCACTCGAGCACTAGTGTATCATCGGTGTGGCGAGCGAGTGAGTGCTGGACGACATTCGAACAAGGATTTAAATGCCCCGAGACAACAATGATCACGGTGGTCCGAGAACGAGGAAAAAAGCCCGAGAGAAGAATAGTCTCGAGGCGACTCACGCGGCGAGTGGCGATCCACTCACGCCTGCAGTTGCTCTGCGCTGCTCTCGTGCGCCACAGAAATGTTCTTGTTCGGCGCTTTTCCAGCAATATATACCTACCTATGGCAGAGCCCCGTAGCTTACTCTTGTAGCGAGGCGCGAGCCATATAAATGCCTCTTTGTTCGAGCTCAATGCGCGCGCCAAGAATGTCACTTGTGTATAGCTATGGATACATTGACGCCTCTGCGCGAGCCTCGCTAGTCCACTGCCTGCCTATCCTATGCTGCTATTCAGTCGAGAAAAATGACTACTCGTTAAAAACAAATAGTGACTCTGGCCCCTGAGCCTCCTCTATATAACTCGGACCATTATGATTTTTCGCCTTAATTTTTCCATTTTTCGTCCGGCCCGATCAATCGATTTCGCATAATCCTGCTCGTTACGAGTTTCACTGCCTTTATTCATGCGCGACCATTACTCTCTTTTTTTCTGAACGTACAAATTAATATTCGATTCAAAGCCAATAAAACTACGATACTTATACGTACTATTATGTATGAAAAAAAAGAAGAAGGAAAGAAATAAAAAGAAGGAAAGAAAAAACGGTCTTTTTGGAGCTGGTACATGGAGACATTTAGCGTGGCTGCTTCCGCCTCGCGCGTGCGCGCCTAGCTTGCGTCACTCAAGTTGTCAGGCGAACAATTAGAGAATTTGTTTGTCATTTAATTTCGTTCTCGAAAACCATTTGGATTATGGTAAAGAGAAAACCGCGTATTTATTTACATGAGCTATTATTGTACACTAGTAAAGAGGCACGAGGCTCATTACAATCATAAAGGATGATCAATTTTTTTTCGTAGTACTCGTAAATATCCCCAGTCGTATAGGTATTTATCAGCGGTGTATCGTCACCTTTTCCATTATATTTGGCCAATTGTAAATATGTATCGGCCGATAAATTTCGTAATTACACGTGTTCGGGGCTGCTCGCGCGTGCTTCTAATCAAGCCCAATGTGCCCGTAACTCAGCCGTCGAATCTCCACTACATAATGCCAATGGTTCTATTGACCCGACTCGGCTCGTCCTCGTCGTCAATTAATTAAGCAGATTACAGAAATCGTGTCGTAAGCCAAGCCTCGACTCGCATCGCACGAGGAATATGAATTAAGAGACGCAAAAAGTAGACGACAAAACGTCCACGCGCAAAGTCTCAATCGGGGAACGCATCAATTCGAGGCAAAATATCGAATTGAGATTTTAGCGTCAAATTTATGATCGATCAGTGTCAGTGGCTCGAGTTGGAACAGACAAAATATCTCGAAAATTGAGCGCTCTAGCGAGAGTAGGTAAAGTTAGCTGGTTTGTAGGAGGAAAAGTCGAGTGGAGCTTTTGAGGCTGCAGCAGACTTCTGCAGTGGAATGAAAAATTAGGCTTCGAACGAAATTCCTCGGGAGCTTGCTCGGCTATTAATGACACTCGTATAGTACATAAGCGTCGCGCGGAGAATATGTCTCTTTGGCGGCTGGTCGGTGAAGATTGACCAATACATACTTTGTGGCGCGTCGCACTTATGTGGCTGCTGCTGCTGCTGGCATGCGTTTGTTTACCTGGAGTTTGGTGGTATACAGACAGGCCGGCAGCAGCAGCAGCTGCCGCTGCATCTTCAGATGAAGAAAAAAAGGAGCAAATAAAAAGAAGAAGCAGAAGAGAGGCGCAATTATATGCGGGTGCGCCTCGTGTGTTGTATAGAGCGCAGTTGAATAGCCGTCGATGGCCATTATACAGCAATGGATACAAGCTTAGAGTGGGTATATAATATCGGTAGAAGAGGACAAAGGGCGTGAGTGCGTAGGCGCGTACATAGCATATAGCACATGTATAAGGTAGGCGCGAGGAGACCTCCCGAGCCCGGCTGAGCTATTCAGTCGCGTCGCTCGTATATTCCTGGCATGTGCTCAGCGTGAAAATGACATAATACGCAAACTATATAGTCGAGCTGCGGCAGTATATGCAGAGAGCTGGATGATCGTAAAGTGCGCGAGTCACTTTATAAAGTCAGGCTGTGCGAGGCCTGTTCCAAGGACAATCGTCGGATCCTCGAAAATCCACGTGCTCCGTGTAAGCGGCTCTGTATATGCACGCAGCATTCCGAGCTCATCTAATGTTTGCACGCATTATAGAGAATCCTCGATCGTCGTTCTCGTCCCTTTCATCCGATTTGCTCAATGGCATATTCGCCTCCTATATTCTAGCGTACAATTCTGGCGTACACATTTTGCCGACTCGAGCTCCGAATAGAAAGTTTCGTCTTTTTCTCTCGGAATTGTAATGAGTCATCGGCCGGGGCAACACTTTCCACGCCAGGATTTTTTCGCTCCTTGGCTATTATATAGGTGCGCGTATAATAAGTACAGTGCAAGGCCTCACACGCGGCTGCGAGCTTGGCATCGGGGTGGCACCTCGACTCGTGGCCCTCGAGCAACTGGCAAAATTAATTATTTAACCCAAGAGCCGTGACTGCTCCGAGCGAAAAATACGCACACGTAACGAAGAGCTGAATAACCATCTCACATAGAGACTTACATATAGAGTTAAATGAGCTAAATGAGGCAAAGCGGCCGAATCATCGCTCGCGACTACTTCCGACAAGGGAGTAGCATTAATTGGAGGCTCGATTTGATCGATCGCTTATTAATAAGCCCAGCCACATTATGTTACTCTTTTCATTGCTCGCTCGAGGTGAGCCGCAGAACGCGCAATCGCGTAAATATGCCAGCGCTACCATAGCTGGGAGCATGATATAAAGTATAAGTAGTCGTCGTCGTTGGGAGCGAGAAGGGTCGCTCGAAATAGAACTCGCGACGGAGAGCGAGAGGCAGTTATACATGAGGAGTCAGGGGGCCGTATTTCGAGACGCGAGCGAGAGACGTGGCGGGCGTTTAGCGCGATTTTTCAAACTCCCGTGCGCAGTCCTAATAGGCCTGACTGTCTTACTTAATTGACTAGGTGGCGTAGGCAGTACACACTCGTGCAGCTTTTCTCGTTTTATTCTCGTACGCGCGCGCACAGCTTATTATATATGCGTCAGCTTGCAGGCAGTTACGCGAGTCCCGACTAAAGAGCGAATCGCGATCGCCGAGTCGTTTCTTCCTTCCTCCCGCTATAATATACTCGATGCCGAGCGCGCGGCTCTCCTTTTTTTATTGCGCGCGCGACTCGAAGCCGCTCGAAAATGATCGAGTAGCTTGGCAGCTCCTTGACACGCGTCGCCGCTTGACGTTTTGTCAATGTCTCGCAAAGATTTCTTAATTAAACCCAAAGCGCGCCTATTACCGCGCCATCGAGCGCCTATTCCTGCGTCGGCCTAAGAATTTCGGCTGCTGCATTTTAAAGCTCTGAAATATGTTTCCCTGCCCCTCGCACCAGCTCGCTTGCATCTTCTTCCCTTGCCTCCCCCGAGCCGAGCTCGTCGACTTTCGTGACTGGCCTTTTTTTTCCTCCCGGTAGCAGCGACACACGGCCTCGTATCCGGTGTATACGCGTGTGTCACGATCGCTGCAATAAAGAGATTGATGTACTCGGGGCCCGTCGCTGATCGGCCAAATTTCATGCAAAATTTTTCCAGAAATCTCAATTGGCCTCATTGTATAAATTTCGTTTGCGGCTCTCTTTTTGCTCGCAGCGCGAACAGCTTCTTCTATGCCGCATTCATGAGTGACTTTTTACACGTGAAACACGTGTTAGCCGCTCGTAGGGCACAATTTCTGGATACGTATATATGTATGCAAGAAGCCGCGTGTGTTCCGCGCAAATCGTAAAGTTTGTTTTTGGAAGTCTGCGATTGCTTACAAATGTTTCGTGCGCGTGTGCAAGCGTGTAAAAAGCGCCACATATAAGCCCGCTTGAGCTAATGAGTCTGGTTTGTTAAAGCGTCGCAATTGGCTTTTTTTCCCTTTTGCTCGTATACAGGCTGCTCGATTTGCTGCTGCTGCTGCATGCGCGCATGCCTGCATGGCGCTTGACGCCGCTGCAGAAAAGCTCCAAAAGAATCTTAATGTTTCGACTTTCGGGGAAGGATCTCGGCGCGATCGAGGGACGAATTTCTTCCCCGAAGTCGCTTGTGTCGAACCTATAGGTATACGAATTGTGAGACGATCGTCATCTTTCTATTAGGGATTCAAAAGGCCCGGGAAAAAGACGTACAGCTCCGTGCCCGAC